AGCCTTTAGGTGAAATCAGTTCTTTATCACCATCTGCTGCTTCAGCTATGCAGTAAATAACTCGGGAGATTTGACTTCTAAGGCGCTTATCTCTTTGTTCTCTCCAAATCCCTGAGAAATGACATTTGAATTTTCCCCAGAGAACAGTGGCACATCTAAAATTGATCTCTCTCACACCCTCCTGCCCAGGGGTGCCTCTGAGGAAGTCACGGGACAGGGATGCAACCAAGGGAGGTGGAATGTGTTTTGCTTCTGATCTCCAGGTTCCATTAAGTTTCACAAGTGAGGCTTGATGTAAAAACAGGCTGGGCAGGCGGGAAAAATAGCCCGTCCCCTTCAGAGGATGCACAGTACCTTCCTGATCACCCCTCGCCACCCCCGCAGGGCGCTGGAGCAGCTGTCACGTTAGATCAGGATTAACAAAGGCAAGGCCCCCACATGGGTCCAATTTAGTTAATTCTGGAGCAAATGAACTAAGAGCTAATGACGTGGGATTTTGCCCCCTGCTTGCAGCTTGGAAATTATTGGTGACAGTATAGAAATTAGGGAAGTCTGGCGAAAAAGCAGGTGATTTAAAGACTGGTCCACGGTCTGGTCTCCCGTTGGGGAAAATCACCACCTTACACCTTCATTCTTTATCTGCCAAGTGCCCAGGGTTGGCTGAGTGTTCGGGCTAAGTGTGCATTTTTGCTTTTCACAAATTTAATGACCAATATGTGGAAGAGAGACAGATGGGTTCTCTGAGCAGCACAGGTGTGGGGACCAGGAATGCCCCCGCCCCCAGGCGTTCCCCGTCCCTGCTGGCCATTACTGCTTTCTGCCTCCACCCTGTACCTGGGCTCAGGCCCTGAGGCTCCCTGGGAGCAGAGGAACCCGAGGGTCTGCAGTGACCTGACGCCACCTACAGGGCGCTGGCAGCAGCACATGGAATTTGCAGCTACACTGACCGCCACACAGGAAGGGCTGGCTGCTGCACCGACTCGCCAGGCCCTGAAGTGACACACCTTTGCCTTCAGTGTGTGTGTCGGGGTGGAGGGGCAGCTAAAAATACAGGAGAACCCTGGCAGCGACACCCAAGCCACCCAGACCCTCCTTGGGGAGGCTCGAAGCTGAGGGCTGAAGGTGGATTTGGCAGGTGAGGGACTGGAGGAGGCTTCCAGGTAGAGGAACAGATATGCAGATATTAAGTGGTGACACTGCTACAGACACCGTCCTGGGCCCTGTGCACGTCTTCACACACCCAGTACATGGTAGCGTGTGTCAGAACGTCATCCCTCTCTGTGGCTGAAGAGCCTCCCCTTGCGTGGACAGACCGCATTTTCCTCATTTATCAGCCGATGGACACTGGGTCGCTCCTACTTGGGCGCTATTATGAATAGACGCTGCTGGGAGCATCTTTGCGCAGGTTTTGGTGTGGACACGAGTTTTCTTTCTATTCTTACCAGTGGAATTGCTGCATTGTATAACTCTGTAATCAACATCTGGAGGAACCGCCAGATTGTTTCCCACGGCATCAGTGTGTGCATTCCAGTCCTCCGCACCCTGGCAAACACATCCTGCCTTTTTATTAATTATAGCGGTCCCAGTGGGTGTGACATTGTATCTCACTGTGGTTTTGATTTGTCTCCCTGATGGCTCCGTTTTTATTTTTGATGAAATCCAGCTGACCCACCGGTTATCTCGTTCCTTGTGCTTGTGGTGTCATTTCTGAGAACTTTTGCCTAATCCAGAATCACAAGGATTGTCCTGTGTTTTCTTCTAAGAGTTTTACTTACATGCAGGTCTTTGGTCCATTTGGGGTTGTTTTCTTGTGTGTGGAGCGAGGTAGAGACACGACCTCTTTCTTTTGCTTGTGGATATCCAGTTCAGCTGGCACCATTTGTTGGGCAAACTATTGAATTGTCTTGGCTCTTCTGTTGAAAATTGGCAGCCTGGTTTCTGGAATCAGCGGAGACTGGACTCAGACCCAGCTTTGCCTCTTACCAACTGGGTCACTTCCCATCAACACACTTCCCACCTTTAAGCCTCAGTTGTTTCATCTGTAAAGTTAGGGTGACCAAAACCTTATTTGTAAGGTGGTGGGGAGGGTTCAGTCTCTCTACTTCAATTTTATTCTTTTATTCTTGCAAAGCACCATTATATAAAATTTACACGTCAGCAAACAGTTCAGATGCCAGAAAATGATATCGCTGCTGTGGTTTGCAATATATACTAAGTATTTGCCACAATTCATGCTTTAAAACCACAGACAAGTCCTATATGATCTATCGACTAACTTTTAATTTTTATGTTCACATACCAGTATGCAAGTATATGCATTTGTTTAAATGGCATTCTGCAGAGTTTCTGTTCTATTTTTGCAACAAAGTTGGGCAGTATTTTTGATCTCCCTTTTGTGTGTGTGCTTGTGTGGGAGTGTGCATTCATTTAATTTTTTCATGCTAATCAATCTAATTGTAGAAATGATTCTTATTATAAAAAATAATTAAAAATACCAAAAAGTATAAGGAAGGTTTTTAAAAATCACATAATCCTACCACCAAATGCTAATCATTGTTACTACTACGTGGGGGCATCTACTTCCTTTATTATTTTTATTTTTGGCTTTTATATGGACCAGAGGGGGCGAAAAAAAGGTATGCACATTTTAAGCAAGGAAAAAACTGTATTAATATTATAATTCTCAGCATATGCCAATAACGTTTGACATCCTGTGTATTTATTGGATCTTATATCTCCTGTAATTGCAGAAGGCAAATGTGACTTGAGTATTACAATATACACACACCCAGTTATATATAGATAGGCATATATACATATTTGAGATCAGACTACGTATATCATTTTGTATCTTGCTTTTTTACCCACAAATAGGAGTTTTTGTTAACCATCAAACATTCTTTATAAATATTTTTAATTATAAAGTTAAAAAAATTAACTGTATCCTCTAAATTGAAAAATATATACATGGTAAAAAAAATGCATGCATGGAACCATTTCAAAAGTATATAATGAAAAGAGATTTCTCTGAGCTTAAAAACCTTATTCTTCTCTCCAAAGGCAATCTTTCATAATGGTTTCTCATATAATCTTGTGTCTCTTCCCCCAAAATGTTCTAGGCCTATACTATATATATATATAACATGTTTTTTTAAAAACCATAGATGCAGAGCTTATAAACTGTTCTGCTCCTCACTTTTCTCACCAATCACTACATGCTGGTCATTAACACATTGAGTTTTACTTCATCTTTTGGTTAACACATCAAGGCCAGGTTTTAATGGCTGAGTTCTGCTCCGGTCTGCAGGCAGGTGGTATTTACTGGGCATATAGGACAAGGAGGTGGGATTTTGAAATATGTATAAATCGGAGGAGGATTTGGGGAGTAAATAGGTAAAGCATTTGAGACAAAAGGAATATAGGACAGACCAGAAGGTGCGGCAGGATGATTTTTTCCCAGTTAGTCCACATCTCACCCTGCACCTGTGTGTGTGGCGCGTACGTGTGTGAATGTGTGTGACCTGCCCACTGTCAAATCTGGAAACAACACTGTGTTAGCAGCAGAGATGGAGGCCGGGGCAGAGGGTGGCCTGGTGGATTATACACGCAACCTCTGCTCTGAACTGTGTACTTCATAGCCCACTCACCCATGTTCCTGTGTGTTAAATACAGTAGTAGTGTGTATTATAGTTTAACTCTTTTTTTTTTTTTTTGAGATAGAGTCTCACTATGTCACCCTGGGTAGAGTGCCATGGCATCACAGCTCACAGCAACCTCAAACCCTTGGGCTTAAGCTATTCTCTTGCCTCAGCCTCCCAAGTAGCGGGGACTTCAGGTGCCCGCCACAACACCTGGCTTTTTTTGTTGTTGTTTAGCAGGCCTGGACCGGGTTTGAACTCGCCAGCCCCAAGGTATGTGGCCAGCACCCTAACCACTGAGCTATGGGCAGCAAGCCAAGTTTAACTCTTTATTTAAACATAATAGAAAAGTACATACAAGTGTGCCACTCCACAAATCCCCAGAAAGTAAACACTCTGTGTATCCAGCACCCACCCAGATCGAGAAACAGAGCAGGGCCAGCCCCCAGAGACCTGCCAGTCACTGTTGCCAGTGACCAGTTCCTTGGTGTGAGCAGTGACCAGACATCAACTTTGCCTGTTTGTCAACTGTAAGTGGAATCACAGTGTGTGTTCTCTTTTGACCTTTTTTTCTCCTCAATATTATGTTTGTAAGATTTATTCAGGTCAGATTGTGCATTTATTCACCCCATGTGTGATTTGTAAATTCTCAAAGCTCTATAAAAATGTATGGGTTAGAAGAAATCTATAGGTATGAATAAGGCCTATAGCTCACACCTATAATCCCAGCACTTTGGGAGACTGAGGTAGGAGGAGCACTTGAGGCCAGGAGTTCAAGACCAGCCTGGGCAACATCACAAGGCCTTATCACTATCATCAACTAAAAAAAAAAAAATATTAGCCCAAGTGAGTGCGCCTGTAGTCCCAGCTACTCAAGAGGCTGAGGCTGGAGGATCACTTGAGCCCAGGAGTTTGAGGCAGCTGTGAGCCAAGGATCTGGCCACTGCACTCCAGGCTGGGCAAGAGGGTCTCTGAAAAAGAAACAAACTAACAACAAAAAAAAAAGATAAAGGCTTATGTGTATACATAGAACTATACGTGTATATACATGTACACACACATATGTATATATGCAAATATACAAATATATATTGTATATAACATATATATATATATATATATTTCCCACAGCGTAGATACTTAACACACAAACTCTTCTCCAGCAAACAGACCAAGATCCTTCTACCCTTGTACGTTGGCCTTTTGGGCAGCTCGGTTGGCTCTGGGCTGTAACAAAGAGGAGGACAGTATCTTTTTACCCTTAGAGCCACCCTCCCAGAGGGATGGCGTGTGCCATGGTCCTGGCGCGCACCTTGGGAGAGACCCAAGGCACCCAGGGCCTGACGCCTCCCTCTCCTGCAGGCCGAGGAAGTGGGCGGCCCCCGACAGCCCCGCGCAGACCGCTGCCCCCCGCCCCCGCGGACGCTGCCCCCGGGCGCCTGCCAGGCTGCGCAGTGCCAGAGGGACTCCCAGTGCCCGCGCCACCGGCGCTGCTGCTACAACGGGTGCGTGTACGCCTGCCTGGAGGCCGTGCCGCCCCCGCCAGGTAGGCTGGAGGGGACACCGACCGGTACCCCGAGCTGTGGGGCAGGGCGGGAGGGCGCAGAGGGAGGAGAGACCAACTTGAGGAAGGAGCTGGGCCACCTGCATGCGCTGGCCACTACTCTCGCACCTTCTTCGCCTCAGACAGGGAATGGGGCAAGCAGTGGCTCCTGGAGCAAGCGCCCTGCTGGGCTCACCGAGCACCCCCATGCTGGGGACGCCCCTCCAGGGAAAATGCCACTTCTTATGAGGATGGTGTGGAGGCAGGCACCTCCACCTGCCCACAGTCCAGGAGACCTCCCCTCCAAGGAATGTGCCACCTCCTCTGAAGATGGGGGTTCGGTGAGATTTCTTGCTTAGAAAAATCCTGACTTGGCACCTGTACCTCAGCAGGTAGGGCGCCAGCCGCATACACTGTAGCTGGCCGCCAGGCCTGCCAAACAACGACAACTACAACCAAAAAGGGCGTTGTGGCGGGCGCCTGTAGTCCCAGCTACTTGGGAGGCTGAGGCAAGAGAATCACTGAAGCCCATGAGTTAGAGAGTGCTGTGAGCTGTGATGCCACAGCACTCTACTGAGGGCGACAAAGTGAGACTCAGTCTCTAAAAAAAAAAAATCCAGATTGGGGGCTTTTTAAAAAAATATCAGACCACATTGGGCTGGAGTCTTGGGTGGCTGCAAGTGGACAGGGTCCTCTAGTTTCCTACTGACCCTACCTGGCCTGCTTCACTCATATGCCTGGCCCTGGGGGCATCTGAGATGGAGACTGGGTGTGTCCTAGAGAGGTGGAGGACAAAGTCCCGGGTTTAAATCCGCTGGCCAGCTGTCACTTCCTGTAGCCTCCTCTCCTGTAAAACAGGCTGAAATGAGCCCTGCATGGAAGCGTTGGAGCAGCTGGAAGAGCTCAGCGAGGTGTGGGGCTTGGAGCAGGTGTTTGCGGGATCCTAGTGCTGATCTCCTGGGTGTGTGGGGGGGGAGGAACAGCCCTCAGGATTCATCCTTGGCAGGGAGGAGTTTCAGATCTGGTTGGGGAGGTTTGGGTGGGGTGGGAGGGAAGCCCATGGCGGGACACTAAGTAGGGGTGGACAGAGAGCTATTTCCTGGGTAGGGAAAATGTGCCCCCCAAGTGGTATGATGATGGGTAGTGAGGTACTGAGCCTCCACCCTCAGTTCTGCACAGGGCGGAGCCTTCAGATAACTACAGCCTGTTTGAACTGAACCTTCCTGCGGAGGCTACGGGTTCCCATGGGCCCTAATTACTGAGGGTGGCTCTTGGAAGTTATCCCCAAACCCTCCTCCCAAGGCTGAGAGGAGAGTTGGAGAAAGCAAGAATGACCACACTTTGCTCTGGAGTGAGATCACGGAGATGACAAGAGACTCAGCACCCTTAACAACGCTCGCAATTAGTCTCGTAATGCTCAGTAAGAACAGTCTGGGGCTGACTGAGTTCTGCCTCTGAGCACCTGCTGTTCAAGGCCAGCCGCCTCCCCCCCCCCCGCCCCGCCTTTATAACAAAGAAAAATGGTGCCCCCTCCTAGTGGAAGAGCACATAAAGGCAGTCTCCTCTGGGTGGGCAGATCAGACAAAGTGACTCTTCCACTGGAATGCAACCTGGCATAGGGGTTCTAGACTCACCTGCTGCCTAGACCAAGCGCTTTTGAGCAGTGCGCAAACTATACATCTGTACACGGCATTCCCCATAGCCTTTCCGTACGTGATCTCATTTCATGCTCACATAGCTCTGTGAAGTGGACTGTTATCAGATCTATGGTGCCGCTGAAGACACTGAAGCTCAGAGAAGCTGAATCACTTGTCCAAGGTCACACAGCAGGCACAGCTGCAGTTTCAGTATAGTTTGACAATAAAAACAAGTGTCAATTGGCAGGGACGTGAGGCTCCTGCTTTAGCACCTGGACACATGTGTGGGGTCCTGCATTGCCCAGAATATCCTTCCCCCAGACTCATATCTTCACCTCCTTTAGACCTCTGTCTAGAGGCTACTTTCTCAAGGACGATTTTCCTCTTAAAATGGCAAGAGGAAAATCCCCCCCCCACCCCCCCGGCCAACTTCATCCCTATTTAATTTCTCTCTATAGCATGTTCTGGAAGATTCTTTTACTTGTTTGTCCATTGCCTGTTTTCCCCACTTGGAGGTCGGCCCCACAGGGCAGAGTTTTTTGTCTGTTTCATTCACTGCTCTATCCCCAGCACCTCTCACAGCCTTTGGGCATAGAAGAGGTACCCGGTCAATATTGAAGTGTTTATTCATTCACTGGCCAGAAGGAAGAGCAATCAAACCATTAGTAATGATAATGATAATGGTATCACAGATATCATGGTTAACATTTGGGGTTGGATAATTCTGGTTGGTGGAGAAGGGGATTGCACTGTATAATGTTCAGCAGCATCCCTGGCCTCAACCTGCGAGATGCCAGCAGCACCCCACGCACAAAGATATGACATCCAAAACCATTTCAAGATTTTCCTAAATATTCCCTGGAGAACAAAATCACTCCACACTGAGAACCGTTGGTCATGAGATGATTTGGAATACACCAGGCCTGGTCTAAGCATCTTCCACACTTCATTCCCATTTTCCGTGAAGACATATATGGGACGTGATCCCAGGTAGTTCCAGAAAGGGCCTGGAGAGCTGAGACCCTGGGGCTATGAGTCCTTTAGGGGGTCTTCAAATAGAGCCTTGATGAAGTTTCATGGTTCTAAATGATCTGGGGAAAAAATTATAGATTTCCTTACTGCTCAGAAGCCTTTGATTGGTGCAAAAGAGATTACGAATGGTAAATGAGATTACTCATATGTTTCCTTTTTGAAAATTTCTTCTACCACATGGTCTGAGGTGATGGGGAGAAGGAGGGAAGACCTGTAAGATTGGAATAAGCGGCAGGGTCCTCATGTCATCCCCCACCCTCAAAGTTACTGCCAGCTGCTTCCTCCCTCTGCTGCTCTGGCTCCTGCCATCCTTACAATCAGCTCACACTCTTTTAGAGAAAAATCCACCAGCACTTTTGGCCGTACCCATCTGTGTACTTTAGAAGGTGCTAGATCATTTTTTTTTTCTGTTGTAGATAACTGTTATTAATCTTTGTTTTTGTCCTATTTTGGAGTCAGAATAAAGCAGGGGTCACAAGCAAATGTGATTCCAGAACAGTTTTATCTCCATAATGCTTAAAGTTTTTCAATTTGTTGTTAATGCTAGCCCACAGCTGATCCATGGAGGCACTCTCCATTCTTCCATGGTCCATCCTGGCCTATTTTCTCAGTTATATTATCTACCTGTCCCCCAGAGGCATTTGAGTTTTCAAACCTTGCCTTTTGAAGGCCTTACGGTCTATGTATGCTTGTAACTCTTACTGTAACAGTGACTTATGTTCAAAATGTATTGGTTAAGAAACAGGCTATGCTGCTATAACAAAAAGGCCCAACCTGAGAGGCATTTACTTCTCGGCTGGCTAATAGCACAGGGGTAGACAGGTAGTCTGTAGTAGGTAGGTGGCTCTGCTGCACAAAGCCTTCTAGGAACCCCGGTTCCTTCCATCCGTTGCTCTGCAATCTGAGTGACACTCTTGTCCATGTGGTCAAAGTGGCTGCCACCAGCCTGCAAGAAAAGGGAAAGAGACTGGGAGGGGAGAAAGCAGCTGCCAATTTATGAGCAAGACAGGAAGTTGCATCATCAGTCCAACTCATATGCCACTGGCCAGCACCCAGTTACGTAGCCACACTTAGCTGCAAGGGAGTCTGGGAAGGGTATTCTCCAGGTTGGTGGCCAAGTGCCCCACCCACACTAGAAGAAAGGTGTGAAGGTGTTCTGGGGAGCTAGAGTCATTTCTCTGACAGGGATTCTTTATGCTCCATCCTTCAGTGGGGGCTCTCCTGTCCCCTAATGGAGGGACATGTCTCAGTGTCCAAGGAGGGCCTTGTTTTGACCATGCATTCTCTTAGTTTTAGACTGGCTGGTGCAGCCGAAACCTCGATGGCTTGGTGGCAATGGTTGGCTGCTGGATGGCCCTGAGGAGGTATTGCAAGGTACCTACAGGGCAGAGCCCTGGCCCTATGTCATGGCCATTACCCCTTCTTAGCTGGGGCACCAGGCTGCCTGTCCCCTATGCGTGGACCCTTTCATCTGCCCCCTACCACCACAGAGGAGATGCTGGCTGGGGACTTGGCCAGTCAGTTCAGAATAAGGGTTTGAGTCTCCTTAGGAGCAGGGTCTTCCCCAGGTGCAGAATGGAAAGGAAGGTGTGGGGTTGTTTTTCAAATCCCTAGACTTTAGATAAGGGGCTCACTACTCCCTAATGTGTCTTTGTGGAGGGAGCTGGGAAGGGGAGACCAACTGCTGGAAGGAACAGCATGCGGGTCCTCGAGGGTTGTGGGGGTGCCAGTGTGCACACTTCTGTGTGTGCACTTGTGGCTGAATCCTTGTCTGTTGTGCATGCAAAGGTGTGTGGCTGTGCTGTGAGTGTGTATGCTGTGCGTGTGTGTTTGTGTGTCAGGATTTGTGTGAGGGTGTGTGTACATGTGACTGTTGATGTGTATGTAGGTGTTTCAGGGTGTCACCTGAATAGGAGAGTATGTTTGGGATCGTGTGACTTCAGACTGCCTTTGTGTGTGTGTTTGTAGAGGGGTGTGTTTGTGTGTGTGTGTAGGTGTGTGTAAGGGTGTGTAGGGGTGTATTTGTAGGTGTGTTTGTGTGCAGGGGTGTGTGTTGTAGATGTGCATATCTGTAGGTGTGTGTGCAGAGCTGGGTGTGTGTAGGTGTGTGTAGGGGTATGTTTGTGTATAGGGGTGTGTGTATCTATAGATGTGTGTATAGCTGAGTGTGTGGAGAGATGTGTAGAGGTGTGTGTTGGTAGGTGTGTTTGTGGGTTGGGGTGTGTGTTTGTGGGGGAGTGTGTTGTGGGCATGTGTGCACACATAAGCTGCTGAGTGAGATGGGGTGCATCTGGAATCGGGGATGCATCCTGCGCCCTCCCAGGGCCACCCACTGAGCCCCCGGTGTGTGTGGCCCCCGCAGCAGAGGCCTGCAGCACCACTGAGGATGGGGCGGAGCCACTGCTGTGTCCTTCTGGCTATGAGTGCCACATCCTGAGCCCCGGAGACCTGGCTGAGGGCGTCCCCAACCGAGGACAGTGCGTCAAGCAGCGGTGGCAAGCAGGTGAGTGTGGACACCCAGGCCACTCTCCCTGGGACCCCCTTCCCCACAGATCTGCCCAGGGACAGGCCCTTGTCCAGAGCTGCTCCCACCTTCCCTCTATCCTTCTTCGGGTCCTCTGCCCTTCTCCTGCCATGCCCACCTGTGACTCTGGTATGTGTCTCCCAGCTGGGTAACTTGGGGTCAATTTCTTCATCATTCTGAGCCTCAGTTTCCTCATCTGTAAAATGGGGTACTTCATGCTGCATGGAGATTGACTGGAACCATATGTGCAATGCCCTCAGTGCTGAGCAGAGTGGCTGGCGGTCAGCAAAGACTGGCTGCTTCATCTCCGTGTATGCACACACTTAACAATGTTTCAATGGCAGTGCAAAAGTGATACCCATTCAGGTTCATATGTCAACCCACATGGCCATTCTGTTTTTCACTCTCCATACAGTAGTTAGTAAATTGCATGAGCTATTCAGCACTTCATTATAAAATAAGCATCATGTTAGATCATTTTGCCCAGCTGCAGGCTGGAGTAAGTGTGCTGAATGCCTTGGAGGTAGGCCGTCACATCCAAGCTACGATGTCGGGGTTAGGTATATTTAATGCATTTTTTACTTAATGATACTTTTGACTTCATATGAGCCTATCAGGAGTAACCCACTGTAAGATGAGGAGCATCCAGATCTATTTTAACAGCACACACAGCATTTGCATTGTTGAGAATTCCCAGGACTCCTGCCAGGACTATTCAGTTCCACTAAATTAGTGTTCATCTTTGGAGACAGACGCGATAAATAAATGAATGGATTGCATCGCTTTAGTTTGCATGGTTTTCCAAGGA